TTCCTTATCTACTGAAACAATTCATAGTAGCACAAACCCACTCTATCCCCAAGGATACGAGGCAAGCCCAATGCATCTTCTGAAGAACACCGTTCAATACTGGTCAGGTGATGTTGAAATGGAGACAACCAGAGGTGGCAAGATGGGGCAGGGAGGCCATCGCATCCCACCAACGTTCTTTTTACAGACCATGAACGCTGTGTCCACGCTGATCAGCACAGCACAGACCCTGAACTATGCGCCCAGCTACTTTTAAAGGACTAGAATAACACGGTAAAAATTGCACGTTCAAAGGCAATAACGTTTGAAGTCTCTGACAAGTTACTCCACAATGGACCAGAATTTAAAGTATTTAATCAACCGTTTCAATTCTAAATGCAATACACCAATTCAACATTCACACAAAGGAATAGGCTCGGAATGGAAAATACGCAATTTCATAAAAAATAATTTGTATCATTGTGCTGGACAAAATCAAGACCATCAGTCTATTCAAGCATGAGGAAAAAATAACCCACTGACATTATCTTTGTATTCTTTTCCTGCTAAAGTGCTATGGATACCAGCTAACAAAAGTTCTCTTGCTTTTACTGCCTTGAGCCCTCCCATGACAGTCCAAACGAGACGAGCTAATGGCAGGAGGAAAATGTTAAAGGTGCATCATAATGAAACAGGCAAATAAAGTCATCGGAACTCGCCCTTGTCAGAGACGCAACGATGTGACTGGAATCGCTGTACTTCCCGCCAAGAACAGAAACGTACAGACTCCACCAAGCGTTCACACGCTGCTTCTGCCCATTAAACCACAGAGATAAGGGGACTGGAAAGGCCTGGATCACCCCGGTCTGCAGTCAAAGGTGACTGGGTAATAAATGGTACAAAAAGCTGTTTCTAGCAGACTGGAGAGCTTTGAAACCCCAGAGCATCTCCGCTGCAGGACAATCCCTGCCACCGCTCCTCGGTGACCAGTTCTATACCGCACAGCTCCCCGTTACAAAGGGCCACACCACAAAGCTACAGGCTGTGGAGTCAAGCTGAATGATTAGATTTAAATTAAAAATTACATAAAAATATGTGTATATATATATTTGCAGATCAGAAGCGAGCCAAAAGGAACACAGAGGCTCCACCAGCAGCCACATGCATCTACGGTGGGTGCCACAACCCATTCACCTCCAACATCACAAAAGCAAAGCCGGCCACAGGCTCATTAAGATATTCAGTGTGTCTGCTGGGAAACAAGCTTCATGACAAGGATCTTCTCATCCTGTGAAAGAACCAGTGGAGATACACTATTACCATCTGCATTCCTGTCATTAGCTTGTTTTCGCCGCTTCTTCCATACCTAATGCTGCGCAAGAAACTTCATTTGGGTCTTAGCCATGGCACAGGCTGGGACAGCACCAGGAGCCTCTCCTCGCGCTTCCTGCATTCAGAGCTTTTATTGCAACGTCTCGAAATGAGTTTCCTCTTTCAGAGCTGCTGCTGTATTAGCCAATTTATATCACTGCATTAAATACAAATAAACTCATATTGTACAGTCTACGCCTGTTTAAACTGTTTGTCATTTAATCCCCCAGTACTGAGAAAGTCTATAGTCTTTCCGTGTGTTGGAAGAATCGAACATTTAGCCTCAAGTACAAGAAAAAATGGAAAAAAAAAAAAAAGAAGATGGAAAATTAATATTTATATACCACATGTAAACACACACCCTGTTTTACATAGCTCTGAACACCGTCTGTGAGATTCTTCTCCATCCTTACAAATTCAATCCTGCTTTTTAATTTAAAGGTCAAACCGTACACGCAAGTTTGCAAGATTTCAGGTCTCGGAGGCCAGTTGGTTCTCATTTAGCACCAACCAACGGAACAAACCCAAACCACAATCTCACTGGTTCGGAAAACCACCGAGGTTCACCAATCCTGACAACAGCATGTTAATACACAGCCCTATGGGCACCTGTCAGAATTTCATATTTTTTAAGCTGTCTACTCATGCATAATATGAATATTTATTCATCCCTCCCTGGTTGTTTGCCAGAGATTTATTTTAAGCTCCTTGGTTCTAGTATAGCGGATATTCTCCTCCTCCTCCCATCCTTGCCTACGCTGTCTTTGACACTGTCGGCATCTCTCCCTGAGAAAGAAAATTAAAAAAAAAAAAAAAGAAAAAGAAAAAAAGAGAACCTGCAGTGTTAATGGAAGAACACAGGAAGGTTAGAAAATATGGCTTTTGACCTTCACAGTTTTTTACTCAATGACAATAAGATGAGTTAGAAAATAATATAAGCATGTCTTAAGGTCAAAATTCATCAGCTGATAAATTAGTCTTTTTGTACACCACAAAACTGAGTTAAAATAAGGTATTCAGTCATATTTCCGTCAAAACTTGCTGGCGTTTTACTTAGGGCAGAGAAACTCAAGCATTTCAGTATAAAATACAGTATTTTGCACAGTTCATTTGGAGTTCAGAATAGTTTCTGCTCTTTTATACTTTTTATGGGATAGACTTTGAAATTGCGTTTCTCAGTTTGCTGTTAATATCCACATCTTGGGCTTAAGAGTTTATTCTCTGCTTCATGCACATGTGTCGCTCCCATTAATGCTAATGGAATCGAGTTAAAACAGAGCACTGAGGGAGAAAAAAGTACTTGCTAATCCTTTATAACCTTATCGCCAAGAAGAGCGATTTGTAAACCACGTGAACCCAAAGATCAGGTACAATAGCTGCCGGCTGCGGCGCTCAGAGTTCCGGGCTGTTCCTCGGGTACTGCGAGGAAGAAAGGATAAGCCGTGAACTACAGCAGCATGACTCCTCAATGACAGAAACGAAACGCAGCCCTATTTTCAGCAATTGGCTTTTTTACGGTGGTACAAGCGCTCCCTGAGCTGCAGAGACCCCGATTCAACCCCCTCGGCGCCTTGCGGCACTCGGAAAAACCAGGCCGACCTTGGCTGCGGTGATATCCTGCCGTGAGCAGGGGCCCCGCTCCCGCAGCCCCCGTGGAGCCCCGGGGAAGGACGTCTGGGCTGCGGTTCCCATTTTGCTGCGGGGCAGAGAGCAGCGGCTCGACCCTTTTGGCAAGGGGCAAGGTCGTTTTGATGCCCCTGGTGCCTGCGCAGCCGTTTGCTGCGGGCGCCTCCTTAGGCCTCCGCCTCTTCTTAGGACAACGCGGACTAAGACAAGGCAGAGGCGGCTCCTACCGAGCTCCAGGGCTGACCTTCACTTGCCTCTATTTTTGTTTGCAGCAACCAACACGGGCACGGGCAAACCACCATACTCAAAACAACCCCAAACCGAATAACTCTCGGTGTCAACGCGGTCCCCTGTGGGGTTTCTCTTACAACAAATACCCGCCAAAGGGACTACACAGCCCTCCGCCCCGCGGCGTAAGGGAAGCAGAAAGGGCAAATGCCATGAAGTGTAACCCAGAAAGACCCCGTCTGACTGTAGGAACCTCACGGGATGGCTGAGGTAGAGACAAACATTTTGCTCTGAGAAAAGCCACTGTCACCTGCAGTTTGTAACTCTAACAGGGGCTCACCCGCTCCAGCAGCACGGACTTGATCCGGGTGTTACTTGCTGAAACGTGCTCCACCACAGATTAAAACCTGCATCGGAACACTTTCAAGTATTCCCTATATACCTTAAAAATAATTGATGGGGAGGGCCTCTAACCGAATCCTATCCATCAATGCCAATGTATGGGAGAATTAAAACTGACAACATAATGCTTTGTGATTGATTTATTGCTTTATAATCAATCTTTCCTGATTTGTTATCCAATATAGGTCTTTCCCCAAATAAGAAAGAAATGGAAAGTGATTGTAAGTGTAATAATCTATATATCCATTGCCTATAATAATTCATCAGACAATGGACTACTCATAAACAGGCCAAAAAATGAAGACATTTGTCACTGTCTCTCATTGTTTATCAAATCATTACTTTAAATATTTTTGTCAAGTGTTACAGCTTTGGCAAAAAAATATTTGATAAAAAAATTCTGAACGCACATGAATAAACCCTTTGAGTTCCTGAAATGCAGAAATTCAGCCCTGGATAAGAAAGAATGAAATTAAATCAGTTTGTGCATCTTTTAGAAATGAAGACAATGAATTGAAAGGGTGAAACTCTTATATCATTCTTCAACAAGATAAGATGTATTAAAGAGGTCAGAAGGTTTTAAAAAAGAGAGTAGAAGTTCACAAATAAATGAAGTTGAACTTGGTAAGACATGCTTTTAAAGGTGTCTATGTTTAGCCTGTACCCCAGGATAAATTACAAGATTTGCTCTATTACCTCACCAGCCAGGAAGGGGGTGGATAAGGAGAGCAGTCCTTGGGAGCAGCCAGAGGAGGAGCAGGAGGAGGAGCAGGAGGAGCCCCAGCAGGAACCCCCCAGGAGCTCCCTCCCTCCCTCAGCAAACCTTCCCCCTTTATACCGCCCGTGCCATGACGGGATGGGCTCCACCTGGAGCTCCCTCAGGGCAGCTGCCCTGGCTGGCAGGAGCCTGCCTGGCACGGCCAGGTTGGGAGTCTGTCCCAGCCCAACCAGGACAAAAGGACACCACCACCCAAAACTTGCAAAACTGAACCTCAGGATGCAGCTGGCTGCAGCGACAGCAAGTCCTTCTCAAGCATGATTACTGCCCAGCGCCAGAAACAAGTCATACAACGATGCAGCTCAGGGACCTGGCTCTGTGTTACGCTTCCCATGCCATTTGCAGTATAATTTTAAACTATGTGTGACAACAACGGCATTAACTTGCTGTAAGCACCACCAGTCAGTGCAACCACAGACACCTTCTTGCCGTCGCCTCCGACCCACGAGGCTCAGCAGGTTTCTGAGACGCAGGAGAGCCTGACAGCAAAAGACACTTCAATTCCCCCAGGCTCTGCTCACATCAGCATCAAAGGGGAGAGGTGCAGCATCCGTGGGGCTGATGAGGATGCTCTAAGATGGGGGTATCAGTTGAATCCAATAAAAACTGCAATTACCTTTCACAACCAAGCTGCCCGTGCTGCTTGCCGTCCCAAAGTGGTTTGTGGCCACGCAGGTGTAACTGCCCGCGTCGGATTTGGTGACGTTGACAATCCGGAGACTCCCATCATCCAAAACAGTGATTCTGGAAAGACAGAGATGCAAAAGTTTCAGTTCTTTTGTTTTTTTATTTTTCAAGTCAACATAAAACTCTTTTGAGTCTGCATTAATTATTGATGGTTTGAACAACAGACAGCCCGTTGCCCGTGACAGAGGGGGTTCAGCTGACAGAAATCTCTCAGGACGCAGCTCATAAATACTGAATGCATAATTTACATGAATTTTCCGTGTCTTTAGTTGAGGGCAACTTTAATTTACACACCAGCAGCTTGTGTAGGTTTTACACGCGCCTGTACTTTGATATTCAGCGCTCACCATGACAACCCTTGCAACATGTGGTACGCAGGCCACATCTAAAAATCTCCACGCTCACTGCTTAACAATGTAAAAGCTTCTTCTGAACAGATGCAATGAAGCAGGTGTTTCATGCTGCTTTTTTTTCAAGAAGGCCGACAGCTTTTCAGAAAGGCTACCACACTGCCAAGCTTCGCCTCCGCGCTCTCCACCTCTCACGCCTTGTGGAGGCATCATGTGAGGAGACTCCAGAAAAACCTTTCCCCCAGCCTAGTGTCACCTCTTTTAGCAAAATACTTGGTTGTCTGCTCGGTATCATGTCTGCTTTCTCCCCTTCAGCCATTTTCAGCCCTGCATTGAAAGACTGGTATCAATTCCTGCCTTCTCCTGCTCAATTATTTCCCAGTTTAAGTAATTTGAAAGAAAATGAAGAAGGCTTCTTGAATCTTTAATGTCAATCGAGCTCTGTGCGACTGGATTGAGAAAGTAGGAGGAAAGAAACTGAGCAACCAATACTTGCACCACTGCAGGAGTGCTCAGATGGCACGTCCCACCTGAGCAGGCTTTAAGAAACAGACTGGACAAATCAGCACGAGCCCTGTCTTGCAGCCACGGGGCCACACTGAGGCAGCTGAATAAAGCACCAGCGTGGGACAAGGCAGGGACACAAGTGCAAAGGACTTCGGTCCACGCCAGCCGTGGGGCTCCCCTGGCTCCCGCCAGCTGCACCCACTGGGCTGAACACAGTCTCCAGTGAGACTCAGGGGACATCGTGCCACCTAAGGGAGCTGGCGTGGGTGCCTTTTGCCGTGCCATGCTCTCTTGATGGCTACACTCCGTCCATATGCATAGACCTCCTTTGCAAAAACGTGACAGTTTGAGTGTCTTTATGATGGTACCAAGCGAGGAGGTGCAAGATGCTCCCACAGGTACCAAGCGAGGAGGTGCAAGATGCTCCCACAGCAGCCACCAAACCTCTGCCCTGCCTAGCCTCTCCCTGACCTGCTCCTGCAGCAGCACACCACCACGCAGGCCAGCTGGCAGAGACCAGGGACAGAGGTTCTATTTCACACATCAGTAGCAGTGATATTAATAGAAGTTTCTCAACTGGCTTATAAGTCTCCAAATTGTTGCAGTCAGTAACATTCACTACTGTAATTTATTTTTGCAGGAGTCCAGTGCCATATAGCAGTTGCTCCAGCTCAGTAATTGGACAAGAGTACTATATAGCTACTCGTCCCTTATCTTCACTACCTCGTTGGCACAAATCAATGCAGGTATTGCATTAAACACGCACTGGAGCAGAGGACTTGCCACACTGGCCTCCAGTGCAGGAGCCCGGGCAGTGGCAGCACCACGAGCTCCCGAGGAATTATTTACTGCTGTTATCAATTTCAGGTCTTCGGAAACAACAGCACCTTTCTGAAAGCTGAAGGTGCCCTTGGCAGGCATTAAAATTCCAATCAATACCAACGACAGCACGAGTCCAGCAGTATGCTCCAGCTCAAGGAGGACCACCCAGCTCTGGCACTGCCCCGGCCAGCCTCTGCACTCCCCCCCTCTGCGTTTTTGCCAACGCAAGAAATCCAGAAAAAAAAGCGACGTCTTAAGACTATTTCTGTACAGTGGAGATTTTATTTTTATTTATTTATGTTTTATCTTTAGCCATATGGTTGAAACCTATTTACTGGATGCTCCTTCCCATAGATCATTTTAATTGTATCTGTTGATGAAACCAGCTTTGATTTCAAATTCTAACGCCTTTTCTGTCTCTATCTTTCTCATACTATTGGTTTTCTTCGAAGCTGTCCTTATTCCCAGTGCAAAATGTGTTTGTAGTTAATGTGGACTGGATTGCTCTAGAGGCAGCCTTTGGATGAGGAGAGTCAATCCACCATCGGCTTTGGCACATCTCAGGGAGCTACTGCTGTCTTCATCTCCTTCCCTTTCTAAGCTGAAAGCCGGTGGCAATCTGGGCACACAGGCCTCCTTTAAACCCTGCGAACACACCGCAAGGAGCTCAGGTGGGACTTGCACCGCGTTCTCCAAACCCCTTCCCCAGAGAGTCTCCAGGCACATTTAATTCTCATCTGGTAACTAAGTAATTCCCTGCACACTCCCGTAAACGACCGGCATTAAAACTGACAAATAATTGTGCAAGTTAGCTGAATTTTTTTTTAAAAATAAATCAGACCATTAAAACCTTACTGTGACTCATTGATTAGGAGGCCTTATGGTTATGTGGCTCTTTTTGCTGAAGGTGCTTTTCTACACGGAATGTTTTGTCCTCTAATTTGAATCCAATGTGTTAGAAGTTAACAAGTAATTATTTTAACACTTTGAAATTTGTCACAGTTAGTTGAGAACGTAGGAAGGGCTCTCACTGATTTTGCTAATTCACAAATTCTCTTCGCAGACATATCCGCAGTGAACGAGAGGAGAGGCTCATTTCAGGCCACTGAGGGTTCTCAAACTGCTAACTGGCTTGAAACCAAACATCCCTTCATCAACCAATTCTAGCAGTTTGGTTGAAAAACTTCTTTCAGGACACAAAGTTCAAATTAAATGACGTGCTGTTCAGTACTCCTTCTTCTTCTCCTGAAATACACCCCCAAAATGTTTTCTAATGAGATGCCTAGGAAGACATAAAAACAAACGACACTTCTGATAACCACAGGCATTAGTTCAGAAGGAAGTGCTGGTTGCTGAGTGTGCACCTCTTCAAACCACTACAAACTCAAAAAATGGGCTACTGACTTGCTATCGAATGTTCTGGGTTCCCTGACACTGCTAACCACAACAATGGTAACCACAACTGAAGGTGTAAATTTGTTCTTGTACAGGACAATGCCACTGCTCGACTGATCCCCTGGCTCGTGGTCACTGCCAGCATCAGAGAAAAATCAAAGAAGATAAAAAATAGCCATTTGAAAAAACTCAGATGACATAAGATAGTTTAGCACCCTTATATAAAGAAAGGTCGTCTATTTTAAACAGCTCTCGTAAGAGAGAATCTTGATCTGTGTTGTCAGCTGGAGATTTCAGGTCCACAGAGAGCAGAGCTACACCGGGAATTAGGAGATAAAAGGACTGTTTGTTTCCTAAACCAAAGCTTTGGGTTCTACCTCAGAAGAGCTGACCTTGTCAGTATTTTGATCAAAACTCTTTTGGGGACAAACGACCTTTAAAAATGCTGAAAACATTCCTCCCTAGCCTTCCCTACCCATTTTCTGGTTTTTTGCCACTGCAGCAGCAAATGCAAAAAGTTGCAAGCTGAACACTTTGCGTTGCCCTAAAGAAGCCTTTTCCCAGGCACACAGTTTCCACAGCAGCTTCTTGTTGATGCTGCATGTCCGATCCCTGGACGTGCCCTTCGGAATGGAAATGTCGGAAGGCATTTGTCTGCTTGGTCGGCGGGAACCTTGAAAAGGACACGAAGGAGAAGGACACATCTCGACGGATGACAAATATCTAAGCACGTGCTACAGCTGCACGGAGCTCTGCTACTTATTCACAGACACCCAAGCTACCTAGAACGGAGCCACCCTGCCAGCACGGCCGCGTCAGCACGGCCAGCTGCTTGGATCAGTACAGCAGCACAAACGTGCCCAGTGTCTCCAGCAGGAGCTGGAGATGGATGAAAGCGGTGAGGCAGACCTGGAGCAGCGTGAGGAAAACCAGCAGCGCATCATCATTTCGGTCTGATCCATCAGCGCTTATTTTTCGGCTCGTGATACGTCCGCCGTATCTGTTGAGGCACCCATTGGCAGGCTGTGTTACCCCCAACCCCGAATCGAGCGCAATAGCTCCGATTCATGTAGCTCACCGCAGCGTTCCCCACTGCTGGGCAGCACTCCCAGGAGCAGATACGTATTTCTCAGTCAGTACCATAGGCATTTCGAGACAGAACATGTCCTGTTGAGATCAGTAAGAGTTTCATCACCGGCTTTCTAAAAATGAGATCAAGCCCTTATTTGGAATATAAACGGTGATTGAAAACTGCAAAACTCCCAGAGCACATCAAAAAACCTGAGTATCAGTAATTACCTCCAGCCCAGCTCCAACAAAATCTGACCTTCGCGCGTCCTACCGCATCCCTAGCATCTACCAAAACACAGCTATGACCCGCTGCTCAGGTTCGACCCCATGCTTTGACAGAATGCTCGCTTAAAAATCTCAACCTTACAGTATCTACTGTAACAACTTGCTCTGTTATTTAATTAAAAGAAAATCCGTGCAGGTCCAGGAACCAAATACATCAGCACTGCAGAGCCAGGGGTTGCTCAACCTCACTCACACCTTTTCAGGCACCCAGTGAAAGCCTTTGCAGCGACAAGCAGCAGGTCCACGCGCTAACGTTTTCACTGCAAATGATCTTCTAACCCACAAAGTCCACACCGTCACCCACAGAAGAGCTGCACCAGATGGACGATGCTGCAGGTATCCCTCAACATATTCTTCTCAGCTTGCCCTCTATTTTTCTGTGCAGCAGATGGAAACACAGCGGAATATGAACAGACTACAAATGCAGCGCACACGGCAGGCTGGGTGCGCGACGATTATCTTCCCGAGGGACGCAGCACGCAGGTGGGCAGCCCAACTACAGGACTGCAGATTAGAGCTCCAACGGTTCTTTGGAGCGAAGTGCTCATAATTATAAAGTGACTTTTTTTTTTTTTTTCCCCCCCTCTCAAATGGTTTTATTAGCACTGCTGCAAGGAAATAAGGTAT